TAGAATATAGAAACATCCTAACAATAGAATGTAAAAACATACATCTGTAAATGCTTTTCTTGTCAAATTAAAATTTGGAGATTATACGAAGAAAGATTCTGACAAAAATTGATCAGACAGTTACAGCTTTATATGCTACCTATAAAAATATATTAAAATTTAACTCCATTACATAATTAAGCATATAAGCTTCTAAATTATTTTAAATTGTTAATGTGTGTCTTTAATGATTTTATCATTATCAAACATTAATATTTTGTAACTTTTTAAAAATTTTTCCTTATTCTGATGATTGTTTTAAAAGATTTATACAAGAAAACGGTTATTTTAGTATGTAATTTTTGTACAGTATCTTCAACCTAACATCTACTGTAAAACAATATTCTTCGACAGGAAACTTTAAAAGAATGGGGCACTTACTTGTTAGTGCCCGAGGGAAAGAGCAGATAAGTCAACGCAACAGGAGCTCCATAAGTTTAGGACTTTGAACAGTGTCAAGAATGATTTAACCTTTTCTAATAATTAGAAGAGCTACAACTTGAAACTTCAGTGGGAAAATTTGAAAAATTCGAAATTCAATTTTAAATTTAGAACAATTGATTATTTTCATGTTTAGTTAGATGCCATCCTATTAGTAAAAATATTAATTTTATCGTTATAAAATTATCTGTAAATCACTTAAATTAAAAACGTAAATTGAATATAAAGGCGGACAAAGACAGGTCAGTCTAATTAGCAACTTTCGTCCCTTTGGATCTCCAGAGGGAAAGTAAACTAGAAAAAGAAAAGTTTAAAGTTTTTAATTATTAAAGATCCTAAAATTAATTTTGTTGAATTTCATATTGTTCGAGAATTCTGCCACAAGATTGTTTTTACTTTAAGCAGATGAAATTGTTTACGATAAAATAACGAATTACATTAAGGTTTTAATAATAAAATAAAATAAAATAAATTTTGAAAAAGCACATTCTATTAAACATTAATACTACCAAAAATGTTATATTATTACATAAATTGAATGAAGCTTAAGGTTTATATCTTTCTAAGTGTTACATAAATATACTGATATAATGTTAAACAGTCATTCTTTTGAAAGTCTTTTTCCATTTTAGCATAGTTAAACCCACGATCATAAAACATCTGAGACTAGTTTAGCATTACATGGTTAAAATTGGTTTTGAGAATTAGATCCATGTCAGAGTATATTTTTAAAGTCAGTTACATTCAGTTCATTATAAAATGATTTTTTCCTACGTTTTTTTTTACCGTTATGATAAATTACTCTAAGAAATAGATAAGAAAATAGTTAAGTAAGAATTCAAAGTAGAATATGTTTTTTATTACTAGTGTAACAAAGGACATGCAATTGTATCGTGCAAAAATTCGGCTTTTCTCTGACAAGATTTATTACCCATTTACAATTCTTGAAATTTTTATTGAGGTTTTAAAGGAAGGTAAAAACTCAACCCTTTTAAGCCTGTAAAAGTAGTTTTCTTGGTCATAAATCTTAATTTTTCCAAAAATTTTTGCTGATTCTTTATTTTTTTTAAAAAAGTTCTTTAACTTATGTAACGATTTACTTTCTTAAAGTGAATTTATGTTATGATAAGATTAATATTGTCGTTTCAACGAGACGATGATGACAATTTTTGAATATCATCTTGGTGCCCATAGAGCGAAAATAATTTTAAAAATTTATTTGAATTAAAACATAAGTAAAAATTTAATGTAATAATTCGATTTATAAGCTGCTGCTAAACTAAATTCAACACAAAAATAACCGAGGATCTATCACCGTTGACAAAGTCTACAAATGAATACATTGTGTTTACTTAACTTTAGTCATAGGAATGGTAAATTACTAACAGACATCGAATGATTGACTCATCTTACTTCACAATTCCTTTATTGCTTAATTAAAGACATAATCGAAGAAGAACAAACGATACAAATAACTCTGGTCTGTTTTTGTTTGACTAAACAGCTTGTTTTTGTAGAGTTTATTTCAAACCTCTGTCGGTTGGAAACAATTACAAAATTAATCTTCATTGTATTGAAATAACTAGTACTAAAGCTAATATATCTATTATACAGAAAATTTGAATAATTTTACTTTTAAAATTATTTTTCTATATATATGAATACTTAAATGAAAAAATCTTTTTATTCATATATATAAAAAAGTATATATATATACTTTTTTGTAACTATAAATAAATGACCAAACCGGAAGAGCTGAACTTTCCCATCTTTTCGTCCTTCAAAATTACACCGAACTTTGCTAATCTTGGCCAAACAGTTCCTAACAAAAGAGTTAAGGTAGCTCCCATATAAGGGTGAATATGTCAAACGGTGATTCGAATGCTAAAAATAGCATCCCTTTCAATCTTTCACACGGGAGGGCTACTAAATGTTGGAACAAACATGAAAATATCACGACGTAGAATTTCTATTTTAAAGCAAGCTTAGTCATGTGTTTTTTTCTCTATTCATATACACGAGGACAGTGTGTTTTCGTATGAATCTGTATGCATTCTGATCGATCTATATACTGCTTTAGGAAAGATTGATGCCTTGTATGTAAATCATCCCTCAGATTTAATTTTCGGAATTTTGATTGAAATCGCGTTCTTCATTTGAAGCAAGAACAGCAAATTAAATTAAAATAGTTAATACTTAATGTAATATTTGTGTGCGATATTAAAAACATATTTAGAATATTTTCATTTTAAAATTGTTTAAAGTATTTTAATCCAAAATTTAATTTTCCACAATTATTTCGAAATACATAAACAAACAAAAAAAAAAAAATTGTCGCACGTAAGAATAAACACAAGCAAAATTTGTTAGTTTTAAGCAATTTGTTTCGTCATCTCTTAATTTAAATGTAATCGACAAACAACTTGTCAATCAAATTTAACTTTAGAATAGCATAAACATATATATCCTTATGATATTCTAAACATTATTCATTATCTAAAAATTATACTGTATATATAATTTTTATTATATATTATTATAAAGAGCTACAACTTGAAACTTCAGTGGGAAAATTTGAAAAATTCGAAATTCAATTTTAAATTTAGAACNATAGACAATGTATATATAAGCCTATATATATATTGTAAGTAATGAATCTAATAGCGACAACAACAATCATCCAAGAGTAATAAAGTAACTGAAAAATTTCTATGTATTTTCTCTTTTCGTAGAAGGAAGTAGTTTTAAACAAAGAAATTTTATGAAAAATCGTTCAAGCGTTAAGTCAACGGAAGAAAATCTGAAAAAACAAAATGGCCGTATAGATAAACTACTTATGAACTGTCACAAAATCTAATTAGGCTTAATTTAAATTAGAATAAAAAAGAATTAGGCTTAATTTAAATAATGTCCTTCAAAATAAATTCAATGAAAATATTTCAAATTAAATTTAAATGATATAATCAAATTTCTTAATAAAAAAAATGTATTTACTATAATACGCTTCTTGTCTAGCCTTAGTATATACTTGTGAGCACTGTGTTGGTCTCCTTTATTCCTAGACTTAGGAAAAAGGAAGCCAATATATAAAAAATATATTTGTTACAGAACTTTTTAAATATAGCAGGATAAACCATTCAATGAAATAAACTGGGCTTTTACTTCCGAATGAAATTTATTAAATATCTTGCTTCGTTTATGAGAAAGTAAAATTTATTTTTATAAAATTACTTTCTTAATTCAAACTATCTAAAATTAAAATAAAGAAAGAACCACATTAAAAAATTTTTTTTTGTTACAATAAAATAATAAAATGAAGACTATTAAAATACATGCTAGAGATTTTGTTCTGTTAATTGCCCTTTAGAAGAAGAAACGAAATATTAGAGATAGATATAACTCATTAATTGCGACTTATTACTAAGATAACTTGAAGAGGTTTCTCTTCGTTTATTTTGTCATATTATAAATCAGATAACGAATGTATAAGTTACGAAGTGAAAATGATTCGTATTCGTTAAATATTTGACTTGTTATAATCGTTAATTCTTAGCGGTAACAATCTGCTAATCGGGATGTTTCATAAAATAAATAAATGGTCTTTTATCAGATGGCATAAACACTGTTAGATATTCGATGAAATAAGATTTGTACAGTACTTAGTTGTTACTCAAAAATAAAGTTCATTTTATGAATTCATTCATATATAAAATACTAAATTTCTAATACGTTATTTTTCTGTTGATTTTAATACGTTAACGAGATATTACCCCCAAGTTCTTGTATGTATAACGTATATATTGTTTGTATGTAATCACTTTTTATGCCTCCGGTATTAGGATTATCTTGGAAAATCTTTTAATTGAAACTCGATAAGATTAACAAATATAAGTTTGTTAATTATTTTCAGATTTTTAGGATTAAGCTTTTAGACTATTATTTGACGAAAATGAAAGAAATTATCTACAGATGTCTAAGAATTTTGCTTGTTAAAAATGTCTTGTATGAAAGTTTACAGTTCACGTTATCTGGACTCCTTTTATAACATATTATCATATTTAAACAGAACATTTTAAATATTGTAAAGCCAATGTGATGTCAGATTAAATTTAATCAACTTTAACTATTACCGTTGAAATACAAAATTAATTACAATAGAAAAAATAGTGTAATTACAATAAATTTCTTATATTAAGTAATTTTATACCTTATAAACATAATAAGGTACCGAGAATTCGAGTTTCTAATAACTAAAAAACGAATAAATTTATATTTTAAATGTTTGTTCTATTAAATTAAATAATGAAGTTCTTGTAGAACTGGTGAATTTTATTCCCGCTAGATATATAAATTTAAATAATTTTCTACGAAGAATAAATTTTTCTTTATCCAACTTCAGTTATGTATAGAGAGATTGGAATTTTTATCATTAGTTACGAGTGAATTATGTAGTGAACAGTTCTTCTTCACCTACAGGGCCAGCAACAGTCGTTTCCGAGGGCGGAGTCAAAGTGACCATCAGCGGACAATAGTGACGAAGGGCTTTTCCTCATTGGCTATTTCTCATTGGTTGTCATATTTTTGGTAAGTGGAGTAGCCACGTAAAGGAAACTCTTATAACCCTTCTAACTTTATTGCAGTGTTATCCCCGCAACGTGAAGTAACAAGACCCATTGTAGTACTGTACCTTACTCTTCAGATCTGCAATGAGTTGTTTTAGTAAGTTTTTATTTCTAAAGTTTTATTTAAAAGCTTAAATAATTTTTATTACTTTACAATATAGATTTATATTATAATTTATATTATAATATTATATATAGATTATATTATTATTATATATATTATATAGATTAAATTATGGTATCTTTAGGACTACGTTATCGTGTAATAATATCTAATAGATTCGGACATGAATTCTCTATAATCGGAAGCAGTTTAGAAGATTTTAGAACTACTATTTAAAAGTTTATATATCGATTTAAAATTAGATTTATAAAATTGAAAATTATAACATTAAGAAAGTTAACGAAAAATAATTGTAAATATGTGAATAATAGTGTGAAAGGAATTGTTTTTTTGAGTAATTCCAGTTAATAAATTCATATTTAAAATAATATCGTTACAATTTTAGATAGATTATTGTATTTAGAAATCGCAGAGACGACATTAAAACAATTTGTTTAAATAAAAAAAAATATGAAAAAAGATTTATATATGAAGTTGTATATGGTTTTATAGTAACCAAACCTACTAATAATTTAGTAAATTCCTAGAAAACCTATCAATTTGAATGTAATATTGGCCGAATTGTTTTACTATTTATAATTAGTCAAACTCAGTTTTAGGATAAAATATAGCAATGTTATGGAGAGAATTCGGATAGAATACTACAATTTTTTTTTAAATAAAATTACATTAATCGAAAAATTATTATAAATAAAAATCCGCTGATTGTTTTAATATGTACTCTAACTGAAGTATAAATTCTAGATATCTCTTTCTTAATATAAATGTAAAAATTTATATATAACATGTATACAAAGAAACGAAAAATTCCTGTAGAATTCTATTCAATTAGACTTGAGGGCATATTCGTTAAGACCAGATGACAACTTTTGTATAGTTCTTGCTGCACCGCTGACGCCATAGGGTGAGGATAATCAGTTTTTTCAGTTAATCAGTGACGTCTTTTAGAGAGGATTAACAATTTTTGTACAGTTACGTATATACTTAATTGAATATTTTTAAAAATATTTATTGGAAAATACTTCAAAATTTACTAGTGCATGCCTAGCTTCCATCTTCGTTTACATATTTGAAATAAATGAAGTGAAGTTTGATTGATTTATCAAAATATTGATACGTTAATAAATTTTTTCTCTCATAACGGCTGGATGATACTTTAAAGACTATAAATTAAAGATAATCCATCAAATCAATAGATTTTTTTAAAGTAAGATTGGTGCAAAGTATAATCTAATTCACGTGACCAACAATTAATTAAAATTGTAATTATACCTCTATGATTTTATTTTCGTATATTTTATGGAGCTAATTTCTAACTAAATAGAGAAACTAACGTTGTAAAGACCACGATTTTAATAAAAAATATTTAAAATTTTAAGTCTCTTTTGGGGCCATCTATTAGTTGTCTCTTAGTCATGGGGGACTTGTTACATGGTGACAAGTCTCCCATGTTAGTTTTGTAAATTTTTTAGTTTGAATTCAAAAGTATTACGATAAATCCATATTATTATTATTATTTTTCCTGATTTTTGTATAGAGTATTGTATTAATACATTCTAGCTGTAAGTTCTTTATACAGTGTATTACTAAATTATCTTGTTTAAAAGATTAGTCGTTGGTTATGCTTACAGGATTGAAGGAAATAGTACGTTGTTAACCGCCGTTGTTAATAGAAAATTGGTATCGAGTCGTGTGTATTGAATTTACGGGTTTAAGGCAGTTTGTATTCGATTAAACATTCCAATTTAGAAACTTACAAGATCAGTCGAGAGTCGGATTTCTGTTCTAGTTTTTATTGTATAGAAATTTTGATTTCAAGTATTGATTGAGTCCATTTACATACAATTAAGGACAATTGTAAGATTGTCAAAGATTTTATGTGAGAGTATGTACACCTCTGAGCGCTCTTTTGTTACCCTTTTCTATCCATTTTGGATACTTTTTGGGTCGAGTCGGGGAGGCGCCTACTAGTTCCGGGTTAAAGTTTCTCGGGTTTATATTTTGAGAAGCGACAGGTGGTCGCGATTATTTGTCAGCGGTATGTGTCCCGAATATTACCGAGGGAGAACCCCAAGGTACGTGGATTTTGTAAACTGACATAATGGCTATCTCGTGATAAATCTTTTTAACGAGATAGTGTCATTTGTTGTTTGGTTCATAGATGTCGTTCCGATAGTTGCTAACATATGTTAACGTGGTAAAAGCACACGTGGGCTAAGCCACATTTATCATCTTGAAGAAAACTGTCTTAAATTATAACTAAAGCAAACAAGAAACCTGTTTACCTTTTTAGTTTTATTTATAAAATTCATTAAAATTTACCTTGTATTTTGTCTTACAATGTTTTTATTCGAATTTAGATCCATAAAAAAGTGGATAATTGTTGCTTAAAATTAACTTTTTAAAACATTTTGAAGGTAATATACGATTGTATTTTTGGTTATAAATTTAATATGAATCAAATTTATTATATTCAGATCTTTCTCATTTTTACACAAATTTTAGAACTTTTAAAATTTCATTTGTCTTATATTAATATATAAATTAATTATGTTCGACAGGTTATAATTTAAAATAAAAAATATTAAACGAATATATTTTAAATGTAATTCGTAATTTTAACTAAATGAATTGTAAGTAAAAATTTTATTATTATCCAATATAATCATTTTAGAGTAGGGAGATGAGGTCAGAATAAATTTTAATATATGCAATATCACATATCGAAAATTTTATAGTAGTAAACATTGAATTTTTGCTACATTAGCAGAAGTCAAATAAGATATAACTTATTTTATATTAAAAACCAATAATATATATATAACGTTCAATAATGTAACTAAAAATTACAATATAATCAATGATTTTTATATAGTTTAGTTCTCGATGTGTATTGTATAACGTTTTGTTTCGCTTTTATAGAAATTTGTTTAAATTTTTATCGTCTTGCTCAAAGGTTAAGCGATAATATTAAATGGTGCATGTATCATTATCACATAATATATAAATAGCCTTAATTTACATACAGAGCCGGCCCTACCATAGGGCGAACGGAGTAGCCGCTCCAGGCGCCAAGTCTTGGGGGCGCCTCAGTGGTAAAGAAAATTAAAGAGTATAAATTAGGGGCAACCAAGGGGGGCGCCGTAATAGGATCTCGCTCCATCCTAAACCTTGCCTCGGGCCGGCACTGTTTACATATGTTAATTTTAAAAATAGTATAATGCGAGTCCTTTAGGCTACTAATAATAATCTGTTATATTACGACAAATATTTTAAAGAAATGTTCAATTATTTTTAATTTTCTTAATTCATATACTAGACAGAATTCTAAAAAAATTTAAAAACAATATTATGGATAGAGTTGTTCTGTTAACTATTAAGCTTTTATAGAAAAATTTCTAAAAATTCTGTATTTTAACAGCTGTACAGTATATATTTTAAAAAAACGTTATAAAAGTTTATAAAAAAATTAAATTTGCAGCTTTTTTTAAGTTACAAAATAAATATAAATACTTTCAATTTTTATTACAATATATTTAAGCTATTGTAAATTATTACGGTGTTAAAAGTCAATAAATTATAAATATTAATTTATTTTATTTAAATAAATTAATAATAAAAGGTAGTTTAATTAAATTCCTTATATTAAAAAATTATTATTATTATTATTATTATTGTCAATTTTATTACTTAAATTTGATTATCACGAATATTTGTTTGATAGAAGTGGTTAGGAATTATCTAAAATATATAGAATAAACGTTTAAATGATATTAACATAAATCGATAAAGATTTGAACATTGTTTAGAAATTCTTATTTCTTAATCATGCTTATATAATAGAAAGAAATCGATCAAACAGGCTATCGTTGAGCAGGGGTAATAAGGCGTGAACATTTTATTCCTTTTACAAATGAATTTTGTTAATTTAAGAACGAAGATGTAAATAGTATTTATGAAAATATTTAGAGATTTTATTTAGTATAAATGTGATAAAAATTCTAATGATAGTGACATCGAACTAATTGTTAAGTCATATTCCGAACAAAGTCAATATTAACGGGTTTTTAGGTAGAACCTTTCTAAAATACAGCACTTTCAGATTTAATAACACCTTTGGGACGTTTTCGCTTAGTTTAACAAATAAATTATACGGTGCTGTGTTGTATGGATCTATATTTATGCTTATTGATGCTTCTAATGCAAAGAAGCTAATACAAACAAGCTTATTATTAGAGTAAATTTAACGAATTAAGTTAAGTCACAATTACATAAATTTATAAAATTCTGATTTTAAAAATTGTAAAAAATTAATACGAATACTGCTGTTTTAGATATTTTAATTTTAATTATTTCGTCTAACACTCGTTATAACAAGTAATTTTAATAAATTTTTCATACATTAAATTAAATTATTTCACAAATAATAATTAATTTAGATTTAGTATATATTATCTAAATTAGTATAGTCTTATAGTAAATTAGTATATTATTAAATCTAAATTAGTAGTCTATATAGTTTCAGAAAATAGAGAGAGATTTTCTGCAAATCGCGTTTAATGAGACATAAAAATAGTAATTCTTTCCGTTATGACGGATTTTTAGTTTTAATAAGATAAGACGACCCATTTTTAAAATAAACTAAATAACCTGAAATAAAATGAAAGTACAATTGTGTTTGTAAAAGTGGAAGTTAAAGCGCCTAAAGCCTTTCGACCTTGAAAAGTCTATTGTATTGAGATTTTAGTTACTTACCGAAGTTGTCTATTGTTAGTAACTTAAATCTATAATCCAAATTGTCAAACAACCTGCATAAGTTAAACTTATTTATTTAATTACTTTCTATAATATTTAGAAATGCTGAAAATGAAATTCATTTTTATTTTATGAATGTTATTAGCATTTAATCCTTTAAAAGTACGAATTCATTAACTTTCATCCACAAATTCAGGAATGTTTTAAATTAGTTTTAACTGCTTAAAAATGCGAAATGCTAATTATATTTTCGGTCTATTTTATTTTAACTTTACAAAATCTTACTATTTTGTAAAGTGAAAATAATGCCGCGTAAATTAGTTTTGAAGAGAAAATTCTTTTTTCTTAATTGAGTCGTTATTTTTAGTTAAAAATATTGATTGTATACGAACCTCCACATTCATTTATTACGAGAATTTAAAAAAATCGGAAATCCAAAATGAGATTTATTTGTAAGCTTTGCTAAGTTAGCTAATAATTGTTTAGTGTAAAGACTTCTCGTTATAAATTGGAGGATCACGCCATTGAAATCGATTCCGTCCCTTAAATTATTCGCTTCGCTCTTTAATTAAACTTTGTCCAATGCACAACGTTTCCTACCCATTCGCTCATTGATTGGATTGCAGACGCGCATGCTCTTGCGTTGGTGTTACCGAAGCTTCGTTTCGAAGCAGATAGTCTCACTAGACGAGTTTTTAATCATGTTACAATTATTATAATCAATCTATTTTATTTTTTAGACATGTATACGGCGTTTCCTCCATGTCTTGTTTACAGTAAAGATATAAATAATGGCTCGACATCTAATCTACAATTGTCAAAAACAACGACATGCGGTCCGATCGTTTGCCAAGAACCTTTGGATTTCTCCATGAAAAAAGACAATGCAGCTTCGAATACTTTAAGCAAAGAAAGTCTGTCAACTGAGTCCTCGCCTTCTGAACAAAGTATAGGACAAGTTATGGATCAGCTTACGGATTCTTTGCCAGGCCCTTCCGTAGTTAGAAAAAGACCCAGATCGCCGACTTCTGTTCCTTTAAAAAAGTATAAGTATTTTCGTGATTACAAAGTGCAGGATGCTTCTCCGCCAAAAGTTTCTCCGCCAAAAAGTTCTTCGCCGAAAACTTCTTCACCGAAAATCTGTGATATAAATGAAGCCACGGACAATGACAGCAGCGAGAATTATATGTATCCACAATTTTATCCACGATCAAAAATACCCCCCGGATTATCTTTGAATCCGATTCCTTCCGTTCAAATGATTCCGGATCATCGAAATTATTTTATGTCCACTCAGATCGACGCTCTTGCCAGACATAGCTGTTCTCCCATCCTACCATCAAATTATATAGATCCAAAGAAGAAACATGCAAGACCTTTTAAAAACTACCCGATTAATGGGCATGGCATCAATTATGTTCCCAGTTTTCCCTACGATATTAGCCTGTCGTTAGATCCCATCACCGCTCAAACGTTAATAAACAACCCATCCAACGAAACCTTTCAAGAATTTAGAGCGAAACAATTGGCTCAAAGAAGACAAGCTAGAGAGAAAACTCAGAAAGCCAAATCGGAAACAGTTAATAAGGACAGTATAATGTCAAATGAAAGTGCCGAATCGAATGAATCGAATAACGGAGATTCTAGAGATGCTCAGATGAATCCACAACCTTCGAGTTCTACGGAAGCGTCGACTTCGAAAAATGCCACTGTCAGGAAGCGTTCGAAAGCGTTGCCTAATGAATTGAAGGATGAAGCGTACTGGGAAAGGAGAAGAAAAAATAACGAAGCGGCCAAAAGATCGCGAGATGCCAGAAGAGCTAAAGAAGACGAAATAGCCATTAAAGCAACGTTTTTGCAGCAAGAAAATATGAAATTAAGAATAGAAATAGCCAATTTGAAGGAAGAAACTTCCCAACTTAAATTATTGTTGTATGGAGGAACTCCTTATTAACTTGTCATTTCTTGGGCTGTTTACAGGTATTAATTGTTTTTTTTTTTTATTATTAAAAATTTGTTATATCGTGTAAGTTGAATTTTCAGATAAAATTTTACTTTTAAACCATTTTTCCCGTTTAAAGAACAAGGGAAAACCGTTTAAGGAAAAAATATTCCTTAAAAGTAAAGTTTTTATTTTTTATTTTTTACCTCTAGTCATTTTTACATACAGTGTTACAAGTGTTACTTTCGGTTTAAAAAATCTAAATTAATATTAAATTAAAAATTAAGAATTTAACTATTAGTCTTTGAAAACACTCAAACAGATTTAAAAATCGTTTGAGATTCACTAGACTAATTTAAAACTTCAGCTGTATTTAATTATTTTACTACTGATTTACTTTACATAACAGTCAAATCAATAATTTTTGTACTTATTTTTATTTTAGTATTTGAAATATCTTAGTGTTTTAATCATTTGAAAAACTTTTCTTTTGTAATCATTTTTTTTAAATATTGGCTAATTGTTAAGTCATATTCCGAACAAAGTGACAATTTTTGAATATCATCTTGGTGCCCATAGAGCGAAAATAATTTTAAAAATTTATTTGAATTAAAACATAAGTAAAAATTTAATGTAATAATTCGATTTATAAGCTGCTGCTAAACTAAATTCAACACAAAAATAACCGAGGATCTATCACCGTTGACAAAGTCTACAAATGAATACATTGTGTTTACTTAACTTTAGTCATAGGAATGGTAAATTACTAACAGACATCGAATGATTGACTCATCTTACTTCACAATTCCTTTATTGCTTAATTAAAGACATAATCGAAGAAGAACAAACGATACAAATAACTCTGGTCTGTTTTTGTTTGACTAAACAGCTTGTTTTTGTAGAGTTTATTTCAAACCTCTGTCGGTTGGAAACAATTACAAAATTAATCTTCATTGTATTGAAATAACTAGTACTAAAGCTAATATATCTATTATACAGAAAATTTGAATAATTTTACTTTTAAAATTATTTTTCTATATATATGAATACTTAAATGAAAAAATCTTTTTATTCATATATATAAAAAAGTATATATATATACTTTTTTGTAACTATAAATAAATGACCAAACCGGAAGAGCTGAACTTTCCCATCTTTTCGTCCTTCAAAATTACACCGAACTTTGCTAATCTTGGCCAAACAGTTCCTAACAAAAGAGTTAAGGTAGCTCCCATATAAGGGTGAATATGTCAAACGGTGATTCGAATGCTAAAAATAGCATCCCTTTCAATCTTTCACACGGGAGGGCTACTAAATGTTGGAACAAACATGAAAATATCACGACGTAGAATTTCTATTTTAAAGCAAGCTTAGTCATGTGTTTTTTTCTCTATTCATATACACGAGGACAGTGTGTTTTCGTATGAATCTGTATGCATTCTGATCGATCTATATACTGCTTTAGGAAAGATTGATGCCTTGTATGTAAATCATCCCTCAGATTTAATTTTCGGAATTTTGATTGAAATCGCGTTCTTCATTTGAAGCAAGAACAGCAAATTAAATTAAAATAGTTAATACTTAATGTAATATTTGTGTGCGATATTAAAAACATATTTAGAATATTTTCATTTTAAAATTGTTTAAAGTATTTTAATCCAAAATTTAATTTTCCACAATTATTTCGAAATACATAAACAAACAAAAAAAAAATTGTCGCACGTAAGAATAAACACAAGCAAAATTTGTTAGTTTTAAGCAATTTGTTTCGTCATCTCTTAATTTAAATGTAATCGACAAACAACTTGTCAATCAAATTTAACTTTAGAATAGCATAAACATNTATGATAAGTTTCTTGGTATAAATTTAAATTTTTCCTGTCTATTTTGAGACTGATAATATAGAAAAGTATTTTCCAAGATAAATGATTTAATCACATTAAAACAAAATCTGAAAACAAATACTAACTTAAAATAATAAGCGGTGACGGATTTTAAGACACTGGACTACTTCTATTCTCCAATAATCACCTTTTGTGAAGGAAAAACCTAGAATATGTTTTCTTCCCATGAATATTACACTTCTTTAAGCTAATAATAGTAGTAATAAAAAGTAATAAATTGTTTTTTTCACTAAAATCAGCTTCTCCCGTATAAGTTCTTAGTATAAAACGAGCAATTATTTATTGTGACATCGTCACAATGCCAGGTTGCAATTTTTAATTTATTTAACATGCTTTCTGCCTCAAATTAGCAGTGGCCTGCCCCTGTACATCATACTTTTCCTTTAACAATAGAGTCGTGCCGGTCATTTAACACCTTTCGGGGTAAAATTTTTGAATTGAAATAACGTGACTACCGGTTTGCATTGGAAGTTCGTATATAGTTGAGGCCTCCTGCTCCTAAGGTTTCCATATCTGGTCTCGTCTTTCATCCATCTGATTGCGTTCTCGAGCTTAAGGAAAGACAAACGGACGGACGACGGTGGGAATTTGTTTTTCAAATTGCAACCCAATAAAATGAAAGACTTATTTTAAAAATAGTCTTTTTATTCGATAATTAACCATCAAAGTATAAGAAAAAAGTTTTTTTTCTTTCTTTCAGGCACCAGAATGTGGGCCTTATTCACTCGTGAACTATGCGAATCGATGTCTTTCACTGATCAGATATCACATGTTGATGCTAGAAATTTAAGAGAATATAAACGATATAAAATAATATACGGAGGAGAAAAAACTGAAATCTTGTTTAATCACGAGGCCTCCTCACCTAGACGGCCTTGTTGACCCCCTCCGATCGATTCCGGAGACAATTATACGTTCAAAATCATAATTATCCGACGGTTGTGTACGTAAAAATCTGACAAAAATTTCTCACGATAAATCATTGGAAATGTGATAAAATAAATGACAAGTTTAATTATTTTTCGGATAAACAAATGCAATATGCGAGAAAAATAATAAATTATGAAACGAAAATCAATATTATATTTAATATTCATAGAATTCAGTTATGATTGATAATTTATTAATTATGAGTGTAATGATATATAAAATAATACACCGACAATAATAGAAGTTAGATAATGCCATTTCAACTAAAAAGTAGCTTGCTCATGATGATTCATATACATAAATTTTGTGCGAGTTTTTAAAACATGGCGGAATGTGAATTTTCGTTATTATCTGGTAGATAATGTAAATTAAAATGTCTTTTACATTAATATTGAAATATTGTTTTCCATCAGTTAATAAGAAATTTTCATGTATTTAAATAACCGCAATCTAAAGCTAAAGTGTGATAATTTATGTTAAAAACATATTTTTAATTATATCCTGATTTAATTCAAAAAATATCGGTATTATTTTCTGTGATGTAGATACTTTTTAATACAAAACAACAATTTTATTTGATAGGATAAATTTTTATGTAAAGAGGNTGATTTAATTCAAAAAATATCGGTATTATTTTCTGTGATATAGACACTTTTTAATACAAAACAACAATTTTATTTGATAGGATAAATTTTTATGTAAAGAGGCTCCATCTGGTAGTGAAAAATGTAATTAGCAATTTTTTATTGAAAATATTTAAATTTTTTACATTTTCTCTATGCTAATTTAAATTTAAATTTTTGTTATAGTACATACATAGAAGTACATTTTGAGCAAAGTGTACTTCTAAACCAAATAAGGAACATATATATTTATGCACGTATAGGTTTACAATTAAATCTATAATTTGAAATCATCTTTCAAATGCAAAATTAAACACATTAAATACTGATTTACCTTTGGAAAATTTTTTAAACGATATAAATACAGTCTAGTCCACTTAACAGAGCGTCGGATAATGAAAAAATCTATTTAAACGAGTACCATGGCATTTATACTGCAGCAGGCCACATAAAAAGGAAGCACTATTCTAAGGAAGATATATAAGGGTCTACCTTTAATCTTACCACACATTGCAGCCCAAGGCACTTAGTGACTTAACACAATGGTATTTGTTAAAGATTAGTAGCGCGTTATAGCTTTATAGGAACCAGGCAAACTTTAATTAGGGGCCCTACATACTACAGTGTTGAATTCAGACATTCTTCTTAGGGGAAAATATTTTCTTATAAAATATTAGTTTGGGGTTCTAGTCAATTGCCTTTTTTGCCCATAGGATAACGAGCCACTGGTTGAGATTTGGCGAGACTTCCATTAAACCGTTTTCTAATACAAGGACAGTAAAATATTTCTTACAGAATCATAATAAACGAGTTTTATTGGACACACATAAAAAGCAATTACAGTACAGTATATATCAAAAAATATATATGAATAAATAATGCATGAGGATGTACTGTACAATACGTATGATCATATATATAGTACCGTACAGTACATCATCTCGAGGAGACAAGGCAAGATTAGCGACCAGATTTTAGAGGCCACATGACTTTAATACTTTTGTTCTGAAGAAGGATTACATTCAAGCCCAGTTTTTTTCTTTTTAAAGTCCTTCCGCCTTGTGGGAACTAAAACGGCCTTTTTTCATCGTGGATTAGGCTAGTCCAAAATAGGGGCGACCAGATGGTTAACGTCCGATATATGCAGAACGGAACGCCCACCATAAATACTTGGGATTTGTCGATCGTCCGGTGCGATCCCGGGTTCTCCAGAGTGGCAGACTGATGCCTTAACCGCCTCGGCATCCGTATACCATTAGAGCTTCAGTTTTCATTCCAGATAAACGAATCACTCAGTTGTTTCCATCATGGGCTTGTCCAAATCCATCACTATGGGCGTAAAGATGATATTTCAGGTCAGAAAGAATTAAAAATACTTCTCTTCCAAATGCATATAAACATGAATAAAATTTGTAACCAATAAAAACTGACTTTTCANAATAATGCATGAGGATGTACTGTACAATACTGTATGATCATATATATAGTACCGTACAGTACATCTTCATCTCGAGGAGACAAGACAAGATTAGCGACCAGATTTTAGAAGTCACATGACTTTAA